CTCCGGGGCATTGCTGTGTGAAAACCCTTTCTATTTAACATAAATACACATGATATTTAGAAATTTTAAACCCCTGTCTAAGTATACTTGAAACCTCCCTTACAACAGGGTAAATTTTAAATAAAATTAAGTGTCTTACCTTTGTAAAATATACTGGTTTACAAAAAATTAAAATAATCAACAAAGGGGATACATAAACCCAGGATGAACAAAAAAAATAATACTAAAAAAAACTTTTGAAAAAAAATCGGGTTAACAGTACACAGAGAACTGAACATACACCCCTTATAAAAGCGATTCATAAAAAACTCATAGAATCGAAAAAACATTAAATAATAAAATCCTTTTATGCATCTAAATAAACAAATAAATAGCAAAAAAGTCTTTGTGTTGGGTAAAAGGAGCAGATCCCCTCAAATGTAACTTTTTAAATTGGGGCAATGTTTTGCTCCCCAGAAATTTTGTAAAAAATGGTTTGACAAAGCCCTGGAAGTGCAAGTCGACACAAAAAAATTCCCATTATTCACTGCCCCTTTTTCTAATATTTATCAGTAATTCTACCATCTTTACCAAAGTTTTCGCGATAAATAAAATGTACAGTACTATATATGAAAGTAAAATGGGAGTTTTTTTAAAAATGTGTTTTTAAAAAATTCATGAGCATCACTACCTGAAATTTTATTACAAATTTACAAGTCAAGCCAAGACAAATTAAAAATAATACTTCAATCTTTGAAAGTTCCAAAAACACAAAATCGGAAACTAAAATCCCCCCCGGCCGGGTTTGAACCCGCGGTCAAAGTCTCAAACTCCACCCCGTCGCGGCCACTAACCAGCAGTGGTTAGGGGGCTACCGACGGGCTGGAGTTTTGAGACTCAGCCCGGGGGGGGGGGGGGGGGGTTCAACCCCGGGCCCCGGGGGTATGGTTTTTTTGCAATCGTGTCTTTACGATTTTTAAGTCTTACAAAAACTAAATTTTATAAAAATGAGAATGATTTGTCCCACCACGTGGGAAATATAAAACCCAACTCTTTAGCACTGAAATAATCTGATATCATGCTGTGAGGTTGAATAAATCTGAATCATCTGTGTAGGCCCTAATGCTCAACACTCAATATATTATTTCAAAAATCAGATTTAAAAGGCAAAAACCTTTTCTTTGGAAATGGGGACCCAAGTTTCCACCTGTCAAAATTTAACTGCAGGAGGTACAAAAATGTATATAAAAAAAGAATGGGATAGAGCTGTTTCCCCCAATGAAATTTTTGAGGAATTAATACAAAAAAAAGAACAGAGCAATCTTCAAGTTACCTGCTGGGTGTTACAAGAATTAAAGTTTTAAAAATTTTTTTAAAAACTTTTAAAACAAAATTTTAATTTTGATGTTTTACCCTCCCCTTAAACCATTTTTTTTTTTTAAAAAAAAAAAATTTTTTTTTAAAAAAAATTTTTTTCGTTTTTAGTCCAAAAAAAAATTTTTTCCTTGGGAAACCCAGATTTTCCCTTTTTTAAAAAAGGGGGGAAGGCCGGGGCGACCCCCCCTAAATTTTGTTTTTTTTATTTGAAGGGTTTTTTTTTTTCACATTTTATTTTTTCAAACTTAGGGTTGGCCAAAAAAGGAAGAAATAAACCCGGTTTTTAAAAAAATAAAACCCAAAAAAAAATTTTTTTTATATTTTTAAAAATTTTTTTACCCAAAAAAAAAAAACAAAAAAACCAACTTTTTTTTTTTTCTTTTTCCCCTTTTTTTTTTCCTTCCCCCCCTTTTCCCCTTTTCTTCCCCCCCTTTTTTTCCCCCCCCTTCTTTTTTCCTTTTTTCCCCCTTTTTCCCCCTTTTTCCCTTTTCCCCCTTTTCTTTCCCCTTTCTTTTTCCCCCCTTTTCCCCCCTTTTTTTTTCCCCCCCCCCCTTTTTTTTTCCCCCCCTTTCCCCCTTTTTTTTTCCCCTTTTTTTTTCCCCCCCTTTTCCCTTTTTTTTTTTTTCCCCCTTTTTTCTTCCCCCCTTTTTTTTTTCCTTTTTTTTTTCCCCCCTCTTCTTCTTTCCCTTTTTTTCCCCCTTTTTTTTCCTTCCCTTTTCCCCTTTTTTTTCCCCCCCCCCTTTTTTTTCTCCCTTTTTTTTTCTTTTCCCTTTTTCCTTTTCTTTTCTTCTTTTCCTTTTCCCTTTTTTTTCCCCTTTTTTTTTTTTTTTTCTTCCTTTTTTTTTTTTTTTTTTTTTCTTTTTTTTCCCTTTTTTTTTCCTTCCCCCCCTTTTCCCCATTTTCCTTTTTTTCCCCCCCTTTTTTTTTTTCCTTTTTTTTCCTCCCCTTTTTTTTTCCCCTTTTTTTTTTTCCCCCCCCCCCCCCCCCCTTTTCCCCTTTTCCCCTTTTCACTTTTCCCTTTCTTCCTTTTTTTCCTTTTCCCCCTTTTTTCCCCCCCCCCTTTTGGGAGTGTGGGAAATTTTTTTTGACGGTCGGAAGAAAAAATTTTTTCCGGGAACCCCCACCCCCTTAAAAAGGGGGGCGGATCTGCCCCCCCCCCCTTCATTTAAATTTTTTTCTTTTCCCCAAATTTAACCCCTTTTTTGTTTTAAAATCTTTTAAAAAAACATAAATAAATTTCTTTTAAAAGTAACCCAAAAAATAAAAAAATGTTTCCTCAAATGTTTATAAACGGGGCACATCTTTTGGGCCCCCTTAAGGGCTAATACAAAGGGGTTCAGGAAAAAATAAGAAGAAATTTTGGACCGAAAAAAAAGGAAAATTTTTAAAAAACCCCCTTTCCTTCAAATACTTTTTTGTTTATTCCCCCCATTTGCACTTCATGGGGGGGTTTTTTTTTTTTCTTAAAAAAAATAAAACATTTTTCTTCCCCTTTTTTTTCCCCCCTTTTTTTTTTCCCCCCCCCCTTTCCTTCCCCCTTTTTTCCCCCCCCTTTTAGTTTTGGTTAAATCCTAAATCTGAAAATTATTTTTTCCTTCCAGGTTTAACTCACTTTAAAGAAATTTCCCAAATTTTTAATAAATTTTTACCACAACTTGGGAAACAGTGCCCTTAAAATCTGATTTTAAAGGAAATGTCATTGTCAATTAAAAAATGCTGATTTTTTTATGCCTTAGAGTGAACTATGGGTTACCAAAACCCCCGCCCCGGTGAAGATTTTTGCCACTTGCAAGTGACCGTCAGGTAGAGTAACTCCTGGTATTAGTATAAACCAGCACAGTACTAAAGCCTATATTATGTGTGAGTGGGTCATGTGTATTCTTGGAGGTCAATGGACCCATTACACAATAATATGTATTTCTGAGTTGACAACAAACAATGTTCCCTGAAAAAGCTTCAAATGTGTGAGGAAACTACCTTAAAACATATATACATAGTTTTAACCATCCAACAAGCACTGAAGGTTACAACCAAAAATTATAATAAAAAGTGAAGTAATACAACTTCAAACATGTCTCTATTGAACATACGGTAAAGTACACTATTACCTGAGGTGAACGCTTTAAGCCTCTCAATATTACAATATATGGTGTTCCAGTGCTGAAGGAGTACCCAACTTGAAGGAGGAAATAATAGAACTGAAGGGAAATTAATACTGTATACTCCCAATTGAATGTAAATATTTCCAATTTCCCATTCTCAGTTTTAACTGTGATGTGGTCCATTAGATACATTAAAATTGCACTTACTATGAAGTCTGTGATGACTAATGTACAGTAACCAAAATAAAACTATGGTATGATCTGCAATATGAAGTTTTAGACTATTATTATTATAATTATTGTTATTATCAATATCATCATATTCACAGTGAAGCACAAAGTTAAAATTCCAAGGTACTATTTAAAAGTTTTGAGGTATAGTAGTCATGTTTATGTATTCTGATTTAACAATACATCAACATTTTGCCAAGAGTATTAATCCTTCAGCTACAAGAACAACTTTGTCTATTTATATATATATATATATATACACACATTCTCATATGGAGATTATTGGATAGTAGGGTCAGAATGACCCTCGTTAACCCCTAGTGGTTGACCTGAGACTTGGGATTTGTACTGTTCCCAGCCTAATATTTCATAGGCAGTACAATGGGCTAACAGTAATAACAGAAGCTATCTATGTAATAATATTAAACCAGGTCTTCACAGTCAAATCTCAACAATAAAATGACTACACAAATCTATAACTACATCAATTATCTAATCTGCTGATCGAGGTGGAACGTATAGTGGAAAAAAAATGGCATCACGTGTTACACAAGGCATCAGCATTGATAAAAACAGAATCCAACGCTGAATATCCACATTGCACTTAGTAATTATTAGCTCTTGCACTTGATCTCCGGCAAACATACGGTATATAACATTAGTATAAACCTGGATAACTGATACTGACAAGTGGTTCAGACTGACATGGAGCAAACACTAGCACATATTCTTTACAAAGTGTTTCGGTGCTTGGATCAAGGCCATCAGGGCCATCAAGGATCAAGGCCATCAGGGATCGAGGTCATCAAGGTTTGAGACCATCAAGGACTGAGGTCATCAAAGACTGAGGCTATCAAGGATCAAGTCCATCAAGGATTGTGGCCATCAAGAGCATCAAGGATCAAGGCCATCAAAATTTGTGGCCATTAAGAACTGAGGACCTCAAGGATTGTGGCTATCAAGGTCCCAGAGCCAAAATATTTTCTAATAAATATGTTCAAGTGTTTGCTCATGTGTCTTATTAAACCATATATAACATTACTTACAAACAGCATCAGCAACATACTAATCTAAAAGTGCACTGTTTGTAGTGTTATCAAGTAATGTTAGGTGAAGGTAATTAGCTAATCTCACATTAAAGTTGCACTAATTGAAAAATGAACTAAACCTGCCTTGACACAACCATGGTACACTCTTCAAGTAACCTTATCATTCATGGTAAATCTGTTAGATATTAAATATTGTACTACGTGTGCTTCCTGAGATACTGTACTCAAAGAATAACCATGTCTGCAAGTTGGTATTTGTACATACTCTGACTTAACTGGTAACATTATGAGGTATATTACACTGGAGAATTGCAAACATTATGAACAAGACATACCTGAGATTTTGAAACATAATCCTGAGCAAGTAGTAATATAAATATGAGGGATGAAGTCCTTATCCTGAGGTAGATATTGAGGTCAAGAAGTGACCAAACTCGAGTAGATGGTAAACACGTACTGCCTTTTAATTCTGATCAAATGAGTTGCATTTATCAATGGAGGAATATGTGCTATATGACCTAAAATGCTGAAACTCAAGGCTCAAGAAATTTAGCTTACCGTTTACTCAAGTTTGTTCTATTGCATTTGGCTTCCTATCCCATGGGGGCCCTGTTTATGTCATGATTAAGTGTTCCACATCGCTGGGTACAACCTGGCTAATACCAAGTACACAAGATTTAATTATGCATTTGGACACGTGTGTAACATCTGGGTATCTTTATTTGTAGATGTTTTGCCAACGGTGTTCTTCAACTCCAGGCTGAGGGACTGACTACCTCATCTTTTGTATATAATTGTACAAATAATTGCACTGATAAAGCCACTGGCTGGCAAAACGTCTACAATAAAGATACCCAGATGTTGCACACATGTCTAATTCTTCATCTTGTTAGTATTACATATCATTTATCTACAATTATGCATTTCTCAAGGAATAGATAAAATTCGAACCTGAAGTCTAGCAGGTGGTAATTCTGTGCTCCACCACTGGCTAGTGAAGCTGTATTAAGGATAAATGATGTCCAGCAGTAGCTTGTAAGCTTAGTCTATTCTAAACATCATGTTTAAATCCTGTCCACTCCTTGAAAAAAGTAATTGTATATTAGAAAAAATTCTGAAGGTTTTAATTATAGAGTACATTTTGTTAAGCAGTACACTGAGTACTATATACAAGACTGACAGCTGCAACTGCATAAAAGACCTAGTGCCAAAGTCAATAATAAAAATGCCAACTAAAATACAGTGACATTTAGTGATCTAAAATTTTACTGGAATTAAAAAGAAATTTATTTTTTATGTTTAAAATAACTCACTGTACCTAAATTCAAGAAACTTTATCTTCCTCTTCTTATGCTTGTTGAATTTATGAATGATGTTACTCCATTTTTAACTTTCTATATTCAATGTATTTGCTAATAAAATCTTCATTTATTATTAAAATATAACAGCACAGTACAATGAAAACAAAAGCAAAATTGCCATGAAGAAAATGGCAATGTTGCAAGTGTTGTCAAGGCAACACACTGGCCATGACACAAACTCTGGAACCAAGTGCTCCAGTTTTCCTCTAACACTGGAGGCTGTGGCAGACTACCAAGTATGCTAGTACAGTAGTTCCCCCGTATCTGCAGGGGATAAGTTCCAAGACCTACCGTGGATACCCTAAACTGCAGATAGTAGCAAACCCTATATTTAAGTAATTTTTTGTTTACATACATACCTATGATAAAGTTTAACTGATAAATTACACATAATAAGCCGAGAATTAGCACTTTTTCACTGATGAGAAGCACTTCACGATCTCTCTTAGGCTTTGAACAACTGTCACCATCACTACTTTTGCACTCTGGCGTTATTATTAAGCAAAATTAAGGGTTATTTTTGGGCCAGGGTAAACCGCACATAACTGAAACTGCAAAAACCGAACCTGAAGATACGGCGGCGCTACTGTACAATGCTATGCAGTTTACGACATTTTATTCAGGAAATATTCACCCACCAGAAACTTTATCAATTAACAGTCCCTGATTGCTGAAACATCTCAATAAAATGCCATAAACTGCATATTGCCTTATTAACATAATGTAGTTTCCAGCATATAAGGCATGCTTTTTTCCTACAGTCTTGGAAAATCATCCTGAGCCTTATATGCTCAGGTCAGGATCAAGGGTAGGCTTTGTGTTGCGCTTTAGCAGTTGTTTACTAACATTACGTCACAACTGCTTGGAAACATCGTCTTGTATGCCCTTGTGCCTTATAAGCTGGAAAATACGATACTTGTTGTCATAATCTGCCAATTACATATGGAGACTACTAAGCAAGTGATGATTTGCTGTAGTTCTCACATGCCTAAGAGTTCTTTACAACTGTGATTCCCTTCAGTAATTTTTTTAACCAATTTTTATCTCAACCGAAAACAGAAAACTACAATATTAAAAGCACCAGTACCACGGCTGAGGAGGATGATAAAGCCATTTAATTTCAGAATATAAAACCCAAGCCAAATATTAGTCAAATCTTGTTTATCCTATGTTTTTCGTATTTCATGTTGAGATATACATTAAATTTAGCTGCATTAATCCTTTATCATCAATATATATTTTGTAATCAAATAATCCTTTATCAATTAATCCTTTGGCATCACTTAATTCTTATCAATTTAATATCATTTACAGGATTATAAACTGCATTCAGATACACTCTGCAGAGCAACTATAAGATGCTTGCCATCCTGTCTCTCTCATAATAAAATTACAACACCCACCTACAAGAATGCACCCAAGACATAGCTCATTAATACAGTGCTCGTTTTGGAGCTCTTCGATAATACTGTCTTTTCAACTATATTCGTGTTCATTATTTTCAGCGCTTGCCTTGCTGTTAAGATAGTTTTCGGCAATTTTCAAAAAAAAAATTATTATTTATCCTTTTGTATCTTTTTTTAGGCCTAGTGGTATTGCACACTTTATAGATGATAGTGTAAACATGTTTTTAGGCTTTTATATGCATTGGCAAGCAAAAAAAAAAAAAAAGTCTGCGATTCGCTTTAATGTGATATTTACTTTATGGCGTCAATGTGGAACCTAACCCACCAGCTATGTCTTGTACCTTCTAAATGCTAACCACAGCTGATTATCATTACCTTTTATTGCATTTTTGGGAAGCACTAAACCTGAAAGTGTCATGCAGTGCCTGGGGAAACGGGGGACAATCGGGTTCAATCCAAAGAAGTTAAGGACAAATTCAATTCCTTGGATCACGACCCCATCAAGGGACCAGTTGAAACACATCTACCATAGTCATACATCAACACCATACACTTGTCAACACTATGCAGTACTAAATAAAATTTCTAAATGGATATTTTTTGTCTATGTTAAGATCATAAACAGTATATACTGTTTGCTAATATGTATACAAATTACACCACCTTCCCTTCTTGATTCTCAGCTTTCTGAATTTACATTTTTAGCCTTGCACAACACTTCCAAATTAGGCATTATGCAGAAGTTAGTAACTGACTTAAATATTGCAAAATAATATACTTTTTTCAATGAACCTGCCATATCCCACCGAGGCAGGGGGACCTAAAAAAGAAAAACTTGGATTTTACTTTTTAAATTTAGTAATTTATACAGAAGGGGTTACTAGCCCCTTGCTCCCAGCATTTTAGTTGCCTCAATATATGTAGTATTAACAGTATATAAAAACATTCATTTCATTACACAAATATAACCAGCACATAGGAGAAGGAAAATTATGACAATGTTTTGGCTCGACTTAGATCATTAACTAGTCACACACTAACGCATGAAAGTAAGGCGCTCATATGTTACTGGCTCCCTTACCTTCATGTGTTAGTGTGACTAGTTAATGGTTCAAGTTGGACTGAAACATCATCATAAGTTTCTTTCTCCTATGTGCGGGTTATTTGTGTATTGTTTCAGTCACGGTACTGTCTTTTAGTTCATCATTTCATTGCCATATCAGTCCAATTTCCCTTGATCACACCAAGCCATCACTGGGTCATGCCATCATCCTGTACCTTGGTATCATATATTATATATATATTATGAACCAAACCATAAACCACCGGTACTTATGAACTCTTTGAGTCATTTCCGATTTCCTAAAAAATGTAAAAATTATCTAACCTAAATCTGTTTTATAACAATACATTTAAATGCACACTTAATATTTCTATAACTTGTGAAGTACTGAATCTTTATAATTTTGCCAACATGAAAAGTATTAAAAATTTGGGGGTTTAAACCCACGTTAAAAAAAAAATTGTAGGAACATAACAAATCTTTGCTAGTAGGTAATATTATAAAGCCAATTACTAAAAATCACAAGAGTAATCACATTCCAATCTACTTCATCTTGCTGGTAAAGACAAAACCTGTAACTCACTTCACTCACCTGAACTCATCCAATGGTTTGCAAATCTTGGTTAGCAAGGACCCAATATCTTATGATGCTCTACGAGAAGCAATGGCATACTGGTTTGTCAAACTATCTAAAGCATTCCATATTTAACATAAAGTTATGACTATGAATAAGACACAGGATACAGAGTCGAGCCGACCCTGATGATGGACTAACTCCACCTTCGCACCACTAGCTAGACATAAATTATAGTGGAACATGGAGTGGAGGATGAGGCTGTGTGGACCCTGGAATGGATGTGCCTTGGACCTGTTGGTGGTGCTCTTGTTCAATAACACGAATGTGATCTTGACAGTCGGCTTCGGCCAGCAGCACAGGCCGAGGAGTAAATGTGTCTCCGTACATGTTTTCTCGTTTGTGCATGCGCCGCACATGGGACCGTAGGTTGTCACGACGAGCAGCACGGTAGGGGCAGAAGGGGCACAAATGTGGCTTCTCACCAGTATGCATTCTCCGATGTTGTATGAGCTGAAAGATAATAATCATCAAATTATTATTTTATTTTTTTTATTATCACACTGGCCGATTCCCACCAAGGCAGGGTGGCCCGAAAAAGAAAAACTTTCACCATCATTCACTCCATCACTGTCTTGCCAGAAGGGTGCTTTACACTACAGTTTTTAAACTGCAACATTAACACCCCTCCTTCAGAGTGCAGGCACTGTACTTCCCATCTCCAGGACTCAAGTCCGGCCTGCCGGTTTCCCTGAACCCCTTCATAAATGTTACTTTGCTCACACTCCAACAGCACGTTAAGTATTAAAAACCATTTGTCTCCATTCACTCCTATCAAACACGCTCACGCATGCCTGCTGGAAGTCCAAGCCCCTCGCACACAAAACCTCCTTTACCCCCTCCCTCCAACCTTTCCTAGGCCGACCCCTACCCCGCCTTCCTTCCACTACAGACTGATACACTCTTGAAGTTATTCTGTTTCGCTCCATTCTCTCCACATGTCCGAACCACCTCAACAACCCCTCCTCAGCCCTCTGGACAACAGTTTTGGTAATCCGCACCTCCTCCTAACTTCCAAACTACGAATTCTCTGCATTATATTCACACCACACATTGCCCTCAGACATGACATCTCCACTGCCTCCAGCCTTCTCCTCGCTGCAACATTCATCACCCATGCTTCACACCCATATAAGAGCGTTGGTAAAACTATACTCTCATACATTCCCCTCTTTGCCTCCAAGGACAAAGTTCTTTGTCTCCACAGACTCCTAAGTGCACCACTCACTCTTTTTCCCTCATCAATTCTATGATTCACCTCATCTTTCATAGACCCATCCGCTGACACGTCCACTCCCAAATATCTGAATACATTCACCTCCTCCATACTCTCTCCCTCCAATCTGATATTCAATCTTTCATCACCTAATCTTTTTGTTATCCTCATAACCTTATGTATATATATTATATATGTATATATATACATACATAATATATATACATAATATATATACATAATATATATACATATATATACATAATATATATACATATACAATATATATACATATATAATATTTTTTATTATTTATTATCACACTGGCCGATTCCCACCAAGGCAGGGTGGCCCGAAAAAGAAAAACTTTCACCATCATTCACTCCATCACTGTCTTGCCAGAAGGGTGCTTTACACTACAGTTTTTAAACTGCAACATTAACACCCCTCCTTCAGAGTGCAGGCACTGTACTTCCCATCATCAAATTATTAAGTTTATTTAGGGACAGGTACATAAAAGCACAATTAGCATACTAAATTAGCTTACTAAAAATAAAAACAAGAAAACATTAAAGTTGGGATGTTTGAATGTGCATGGATGTAGTGCAGATGATAAGAGATGATAGGGGATGTTATGAAAAGAAACTGGATGTCCTGGCTCTAAGTGAGACAAAACTGAAAGGGAAAGGAGAGTTTCAGTGGGGAGAAAGAAATGGGATTTGGTCAGGGGTTTCTAAGAGACAAAGTATTTATTAAATTAAGTTTAAAGTCTATCAACTACACGAGGATCATTAAGGCTGCATGTTACCTATACACCACCAGCCCAAGATACTCTTATCTATTAAACAGGAAATAAAACAAGTAGTATACACACCTCTGGGTGTGTATACTACTGGATAAGAAGAAATGGGCAGTATAACATAATAAAATACACTCCACAGCATACCTTTTTCAGTTGCACAGTTTGGAACTTGCATATATCACAACGATAGAACTTTCCTATTCGGTGCTTCTTCATGTGCGTCTTCATTTCTGCCTCGTTTGGTCTATCTTTACCTGTAGAAAACACCAATGTTTAAACCACATTACCAAATATGCACCATTCACTTGTTTATTAAATTATTAAGCATAGCAAAGATTAAGCCCTTTCCATTTTTATATACAGTCAAGTCTCTATTAGCATGAATTCGAATATTGCAAGTTCTGTTTTGCTCTGAAATTAATTAATGCTAGTTTTTTCCCAAACTCTTCAAATCGTTTGCAAAAATTACATGTACAGCCTCTCCTTACTTAACGACAGAATTCCGTTCCTAAGACCACGTCAGTAAACAAATTCGTTGCTGAAGTGAGGAGCATACTATAATGGTAGTGGGTTTGTGTCAACTATCTTAGATATTCTTTTAATGTTACCTTTGCACCATTTATAACATTTTTAGTATATTTTTTAAATATTTATACAGTACAGCCTCTCCTCACTTAACAATGGAATTCCATTCCTAATACTGTGTCGGTAAACGAATTCGTCTCTAAACGAGGAGCATGCGATAATGGTAATGGGTTTATTTCAACCATCTTTGATATTGCTTTAATGTCACCTTTGCACCACTTGTAAGATTTTTAGTATAATTTTAAATGTTTATACAGTAGTGTACTGTATATTGTAATAAACAGAAGAGAGGAAATCAGCTATAATATACATTATTTAGGTATGCATATTGGTCCAGAAGCCCATCATAAGTCCGAGTCATCAGCAAATGAGTATGCCGCTAAGTGAGGAGAGGCTGTAATTCAAAAAAAGCAAATACAGATAACGTGACCACTCTATGGGATTCTTTTTTTTTTTTTTCAGCAAACTGGCCATATCCCACCAAGGCAGGATGAACTAAAAAGAAAATCAAAAGTTTTTCTTTTTAGGTCACGAGGAAAAGGGGCTACTAACCCCTTGCTCCTAGCATTTTAGTCACCTCTTACAACATGTATGGCTTACGGAGGAAGAATCCTTTTCCACTTCCCCATGAAGATAAGAAGAAATAAAGAAAAAGAACTATTACGAAAATTCAAGAAAACCCAGATGGGTGTGTAAATATATATGCGTAAACACAAACATGTTGTGTGACCTAAGTGTAAGGAGAAGTAGCAAGATATACCTGTTATACAGGATTCGTTATTTGCACTAATTGAGACCCTGCTTAATTTGCAGACTTAACACAATTTGTGCACAAGTATGCTTTAACTCCTGTTTAAGAAATCTCATCTATTTCCCACAATATCCATCTATTAATAAATGATCCTAAACTCTTTATCAAAATTAAATCTCTGAAACTTCTGAGACTAATCAGTGCAGGTGACCAATTATAATTATTGTATCAGTCAATGACCAATTATAATTATTGTATCATACCATAAGGCTGCACAAATCGACAAAGTTACCTGAAAAGTTCATATAAGAATTACAGTATAAAAATGAAAAATTCAACTTTTTGAAGAGAATGTGTCAGACTTGATTTATAATGAATATGTACATGGACAAATAATACAAAATTCCAAACATATATAAACGCCAGTACAACAAAACCTCCACAGTTTGACAGAGCTCCTGGAGAGTGAAACATTGCCACAATAAAATGTCACATTAGTTGCATCTGTGTCCACTTACCTAACATCTTGTTGGTAATTCTACTATTATTATTAAAACTTCCACATTCAAGAATTTGTTAATCATGAACTCCTTTTTTTTCAGTTAGATAAATGTGAACTAATTACCCTATGCTTGTTATCAACTTTGAGTATTAGTGAGTTGAAGCACCTGCAGTGTCCTTCTTGCTTTATCCCACACTTACATATTATCACCCTGTCACATTACCTATCATATTATCTCCTATTCACCACAACACTAATGTCAAAGATAGGAAAAAATACATTTGATCAACAACAAGCCAGTGTGCATTAAGATCAATGATATATGGGTCATTAAGGCTGCATATCACCTGTCCACCCTAATCAAGAATACTGAAAAAAAAAATGATTGAAACTAAATTTTCCAATTCTCAAAGGATATATGACTGTTTTCCCACTGGCAACCATGCAATATCCTTGCACTACACACTTGCATTACTGGAGGTAAAGAAAGAACCACCATATACCACAGATGCAACAATCAATGAAGATAAAAAACACCACACACCATGGATGCAACAATCACTGGAGATAAAGAAACACCACATATTACAGATGCAACAATCACCGAAGATAAAGAACCACCACATGCCATGGATGCAACGATCACTGGAGATAAAGAACCACACATATCACAGCTGCAACAATCATCAAAGACAGAACTACCACATGGAAATAAATGGTATAAAATACTGACACAATGGAAATATAAACACATATGCAATATAATGTGATCCTTTATTGACAACGTTTCGCCCACACAGTGGGCTTTTTCAAGTCACAAACAGATCTACCTGGGGTGGAAGGTACGCGAGTATTTATAGTCAGGTTCAGAATGCTGTGGCCAGGTGAAGAATGCTGCATCTGATGATGTACTGAGTGGGGTTATAGAGTCTAAAATCTTGGGTAGCTTGGAAGGGAGATTGGATAAGTTTGTGAGCAGACCTTCTGCAGTGTTCTTCCATTCCTATGCCAAGAAACTTCTTCATCGCTATCCCACATAAGAGCATAGGAATGGAAGAACACTGCAGAAGGTCTGCTCACAAACTAATCCAATTTCTCTTCCAAGCTACTTAAGATTTTAGACTCTATAACCCCACTCGGTACATCATCAGATGCAGCATTCTCCACCTGACCACAGCATTCTGAACCTGGCTATAAATACTCATGTACCTTCCACCCCAGGTAGATCTGTTTGTGACTTGAAAAAGCCCACTGTGTGGGCAAAACGTTGTCAATAAAGAATCACATTATACTGCATGTGTGTTTATATTTCCAGAACTACCACATACCACACATGCAACAATCACCACATACTACAAACACAACCTTAAGCTGGGACAGATAAAATCATCACATACCACAAATGCAACAAGAAACTTTTGATATGGGTCCATGATGACCTTCCTCGTGTGTCTTGAGGTGTTTTCTGAATGCTTTCTCTACTGTGCAAGCATACTCACAAAGCGGACAAGTTAGTTCTTCCTTGTTGTACCTGTCAAAAGAATAATGAAATATTAAAATCCACTTCCACAATTTTTATTTTGTTATCCTTGTAATTATAATACGTATTTTTAAAAATATTTGAAACACTATCAGAGAATAAAAAAGACACAAAAAAAAAGCACAACACAATAACTGGAATCACACACAAATAACCTGCGTATAAGAGAAAAAAATCATGATGAGGTTTTGATCCAACTAAAACGTCATCTTCTCTTTTTTAGTAAATGTCTACAGGAGAAGGGGTGTTAATGTTGCAGTTTAAACTGTAGTGTAAAGCACCCTTCTGGAAAGACAGTAATGGAGTGAACGATGGTGAAAGTTTTTCTTTTTCGGGCCACCCTGCCTTGGTGGGAATCGGCCAGTGTGATAATAATAAAAAAAAAAAAAAAGTCATCATAAGTTTTTTCATATATGCAGGTTATTTGTGTATAACATTTTTTTTTTTTTTTTCAACAAGTCGGCCGTTTCCCACCGAGGCAGGGTGACCCAAAAAAAAAGAAAGAAAATCCCCAAAAAGAAAATACTTTCATCATTCAACACTTTCACCACACTCGCACATTATCACTGTTTTTGCAGAGGTGCTCAGAATACAACAGTCTAGAAGCATATACGTATAAAGATACACAACATATCCCTCCAAACTGCCAATATCCCAAACCCCTCCTTTAAAGTGCAGGCATTGTACTTCCCATTTCCAGGACTCAAGTCCGACTATATGAAAATAACCGGTTTCCCTGAATCCCTTCACTAAATATTACCCTGCTCACACTCCAACAGATCGTCAGGTCTCAAGTACCATTCGTCTCCATTCACTCCTATCTAACACGCTCACGCACGCTTTCTGGAAGTCCAAGCCCCTTGCCCACAAAACCTCCTTTACCCCCTCTCTCCAACCCTTTCGAGGACGACCCCTACCCCCGCCTTCCTTCCCCTATAGATTTTTATACTTTCCATGTCATTCTACTTTGATCCATTCTCTCTAAATGACCAAACCACCTCAACAACCCTCTTCTGCCCTCTGACTAATACTTTTATTAACTCCACACCTTCTCCTAATTTCCACACTCCGAATTTTCTGCATAATATTTACACCACACATTGCCCTTAAACAGGACATCTCCACTGCCTCCAACCGTCTCCTCGCTGCTGCATTTACCATCCAAGCTTCACACCCATATAAGAGTGTTGGTACTACTATACTTTCATACATTCCCTTCTTTGCCTCCATAGATAACGTTTTTTGACTCCACATATACCTCAACGCACCACTCACCTTTTTTTCCTCATCAATTCTATGATTAACCTCATCCTTCATAAATCCATCCGCCGACACGTCAACTCCCAAGTATCTGAAAACATTCACTTCTTCCATACTCCTCCTCCCCAATTTGATATCCAATTTTTCTTTTATCTAAATCATTTGACACCCTCATCACCTTACTCTTTTCTATGTTCACTTTCAACTTTCTACCTTTACACACATTCCCAAACTCATCCACTAACCTTTGCAATTTTTCTTTAGAATCTCCCATAAGCACAGTATCATCAGCAAAAAGTAACTGTGTCAATTCCCATTTTGAATTTGATTCCCCAAAATTTAATCCCACCCCTCTCCTGAACACCCTAGCATTTACTTCCTTTACAACCCCATCTATAAATATATTAAACAACCATGGTGACATTACACATCCCTGTCTAAGACCTACTTTTACCGGGAAGTAGTCTCCCTCTCTTCTACACACCCTAACCTGAGCCTCACTATCCTCATAAAAAACTCTTTACAGCATTTAATAACTTACCACCTATTCCATATACTTGCAACATCTGCCACATTGCTCCTCTATCCACTCTATCATATGCCTTTTCTAAATCCATAAATGCAATAAAAAACTTCCCTACCTTTATCTAAATACTGTTCACATATATGCTTCAATGTAAACACTTGATCTACACATCCCCTACCCACTCTGAAACCTCCTTGCTCATCCGCAATCCTCCATTCTGTCTTACCTCTAATTCTTTCAATTATAACCCTACCGTACACTTTTCCCTGGTATACTCAGTAAGCTTATTCCTCTATAATTTTTACAGTCTCTTTGTCCCCTTTCCCTTTATATAAAGGGACTATACATGCTCTCCGCCAATCCCTAGGTACCTTCCCCTCTTTCATACATTTATTAAACAAAAGTACCAACCACTCAAACACTATATCCCCCCCTGCTTTTAACATTTCTGTCATGATCCCATCAGTTCCAGCTGCTTTACCCCCTTTCATTTTACGTAATGCCTCACGTACCTCCCCCACACTTACATTCTTCTCTTCTTCACTCCTAAAAGATGGTATACCTCCCTGACCAGTGCATGAAATTACTGCCTCTGTTTCTTCCTTAACATTTAAAAGTTCCTCAAAATATTCTCACCATCTACCTAATACCTCCATCTCCCCCTCTACTAACTCCCCTACTCTGTCTTTAACTGACAAATCCATATTTTCCCTAGGCTTTCTTAACTTGTTTAACTCACTCCAAAATTTTTTTCTTATTTTCATTAAAATTTCTTGACAGTTGCCTCTCCCACTCTATCATCTGCTCTCCTTTTGCACTCTCTCACCACTCTCTTTACCTTTCTTTTACTCTCCATATACTCTGCTCTTCTTATAACACTTCTGCTTTGTAAAAACCTCTCATAAGCTACCTTTTTCTCTTTTATCACACCCTTTACTTCATCATTCCACCAATCACTCCTCTTTCCTCCTGCCCCCACCCTCCTATAACCACAAACTTCTGCCCCACATTCTAATACTGCATTTTTAAAACTATTCCAACCCTCTTCAACATTATCAGCTAGAAATATAACAATAACAAAGAAACTGTCATTCTACAACTAGTACAGCTTTATTAAAATTGCGGGACGACACCACGACAATATTCCTGAGCAGACCATTACACAAGATCAGTCATATTGCCCTTCATGTAAAATTAAGGTGTGGATCAACAGAATTCAGGTATAGTGATATACCGTACCATATTTCTACATAAAAGCCTGATAACATATTTACTTTTCTTTCAACACACCGGCCATATCCCACCAAGGCAGGGTGGCCCAAAAAGAAAAACAAAAGTTTCTCTTTTAAATTTAGTAATTTATACGGGAGAAGGGGTTACTAGCCCCTTGCTCCCGGGATTTTAGTTGCCTCTTACAACACGCATAGCTTACGGAGGAAGAATTCTGTTCCACTTCCCCATGGAGAATAACATATTTACACTGTCATACATTAACTAAGCAACAGAATTAGGCCTAAAAATTCATATACAATACACACATTCCTTATTTTAAAATATTTTCATTCTTAGCTTATAATAAGTGGTAAATATATTTAAAGTGGGAGGTCTGAATAATTGAAGAATGGGTATATAATTGAAAACCTGTGTATTAGCAAAATGCTGTAAAACGAAGCACCGTACTGTATTAGAAATATTCACCTGTGTCTCTGTAAAGGGTTTTTATTTTGTCGTTTCTTTCCTGTGGGTGTCCAGCCCTCGGCTATGTGGCTGGCAATGTGTATGTCATATGCATCCCGCTTGGTTGTGGAAAAATGACAGAGTGGCATAGTGCACGAGTATTGCTTGGGAATGGTTTCCGCTGGCTCTGGTTCGTCTGGAAGATGCTCCGTTGTCAGGTGTTTTCGGAGACCTCCCCGAGTACGACACACCATGCCGCACTCTCCACACTCAAATCCTTCAATACCTTCGCCTGGCGTGCTGCTGCAACACAAGGAGTTTGTATTAAGGTATATCACTGAAAACATTTTCAAAGCTGCATGGCCCTGTCACTGAAAACTTGGCAAACTTAATACTGAAGATGGGGCACCACCAGCTCAGCTCTGCTCCTATAGCTACAAGTAGGTACGATGCTAGAATTCACTCTGCTTATGACCTTGTCTAGAAACACATTAAACAACACATATTAAACAAGTGGAACATCCAACATTCTTAACATATTAAACAACAACTGAAATAGCCCACACTCTTATAAGTAACATTTACTAGAAGCCATTACCATTTTTTCCTAAACAACTAATGACTCACTTCCCATATACAAAAAATGCATTATAGCTTTCAGCAGCTTACAATTTTTTTATATATATCTAGGTAGATGGCGAGAATATTTTGAGGAACTTTTAAATGTTGAGGAAGAAAGGGAGGCGGTAATTTCATGCACTGGCCAGGGAGGTATACCATCTTTTAGGAGTGAAGAAGAGCAGAATGTAAATAAATAACAAAAAGGCACAATACCGTGACTGGAACGATACACAAATAACCCGCACATAAAAGAGAGAAGCTTACGACGACGTTTCGGTCCGACTTGGACCATTGACAAAGTCAATGGTGTGGTGGTGTGGTGGAGGTACGCGAGGCATTACGTAGAATGAAAGGGGGTAAAGCAGCTGGAACTGATGGGATCATGACAGAAATATTAAAAGCAGGGGGGGACATAGTGTTGGAGTGATTGGTACTTTTGTTTAATAAATGTATGAAAGAGGGGAAGGTACCTAGGGATTGGCAGAGAGCATGTATAATCCCTTTACATAAAGGGAAAGGGGACAAAAGAGATTGTAAAAATTATAGAGGAATAAGTTTACTGAGTATACCAGGAAAAGTATACGGTAGGGTTATAATTGAAAGAATTAGAGGTAAGACAGAATGTAGGATTGCGGATGAGCAGGGAGGCTTCAGAGTGGGTAGGGGATGTGTAGATCAAGTGTTTACATTGAAGCATATATGTGAACAGTATTTAGATAAAGGTAGGGAAGTTTTTATTGCATTTATGGATTTAGAAAAGGCATATGATAGAGTGGATAGAGGAGCAATGTGGCAGATGTTGCAAGTATATGGAATAGGTGGTAAGTTACCAAATGCTGTTAAGAGTTTTTATAAGGATAGTGAGGCTCAGGTAAGGGTGTGTAGAAGAGAGGGAGAATACTTCCTGGTAAAAGTAGGTCTTAGACAGGGATGTGTAATGCCACCATGGTTGTTTAATATATTTATAGATAGGGTTGTAAAAGAAGTAAATGCTAGGGTGTTCGGGAGAGGGGTGGGATTAAATTATGGGGAATCAAATTCAAAATGGGAATTGACACAGTTACTTTTTGCTGATGATACTGTGCTTATGGGAGATTCTAAAGAAAAATTGCAAAGGTTAGTGGATGAGTTTGGGAATGTGTGTAAAGGTAGAAAGTTGAAAGTGAACATAGAAAAGAGTAAGGTGATGAGGGTATCAAATGATTTAGATAAAGAAAAATTGGATATCAAATTGGGAGGAGGAGTATGGAAGAAGTGAATGTTTTTCAGATACTTGGGAGTTGACGTGTTGGCGGATGGATTTATGAAGGATGAGGTTAATCATAGAATTGATGAGGGAAAAAAGGTGAGTGGTGCGTTGAGGTATATGTGGAGTCAAAAAACGTTATCTATGGAGGCAAAGAAGGGAATGTATGAAAGTATAGTGGTACCAACACTCTTATATGGATGTGAAGCTTGGGTGGTAAATGCAGCAGCGAGGAGACGGTTGGAGGCAGTGGAGATGTCCTGTCTAAGGGCAATGTGTGGTGTAAATATTATGCAGAAAATTCGGAGTGTGGAAATTAGGAGAAGGTGTGGAGTTAATAAAAGCATTAGTCAGAGGGCAGAAGAGGGGTTGTTGAGGTGGTTCGGTCATTTAGAGAGAATGGATCAAAGTAGAATGACATGGAAAGCATATAAATCTATAGGGGAAGGAAGGGTAGGGGTCGTCCTCGAAAGGGTTGGTGAGAGGGGGTAAAGGAGGTTTTGTGGGCGAGGGGCTTGGACTTCCAGCAAGCATGCGTGAGCATGTTAGATAGGAGTGAATGGAGACGAATGATACTTGGGACCTGACGATCTGTTGGAGTGTGAGCAGGGTAATATTTAGTGAAGGGATTCAGGGAAACCAGTTATTTTCATATAGTCGGACTGGAGTCCTGGAAATGGGAAGTACAATGCCTGCACTTTAAAGGAGGGGTTTGGGATATTGGCAGTTTGGAGGGATATGTTGTGTATCTTTATACGTATATGCTTCTAAACTGTTGTATTCTGAGCACCTCTGCAAAAACAGTGATAATGTGTGAGTGTGGTGAAAGTGTTGAATGATGATGAAAGTATTTTCTTTTTGGGGATTTTCTTTCTTTTTTGGGTCACCCTGCCTTGGTGGGAGACGGCCGACTTATTGGAAAAAAAAAAAAAATCTGGAATGCTTGCCATATTGCTGCATACCTTAACCTGCCTAAGTTTTGAAATACATAATCTCCACTGCATTTTCATTGTATTAAACTCACCTTGTATCTGTATCAATAATGAGAGTTTCTTCATCTGAGTCATTGCTGACTAGGTCCACTGGCTTTTCCTCAAAGTTGTCTTCGTCAGTTAATGGAGAAGGTGAGCACGACTTCTTCCGGTTCACCTGTATCAGATGGTGCATTAAAAACATTAATTTGAAAGAGATGCGAGCAAACACTAGGGCATATTTGTTAGAAAAACTTTTCAGTCCTGGGACCTTGATCACTTCCAGACATAATCAAGGTTCCACAACCGAAACATTTTCTAATAAATACGTATGTCCCAGTGTTTGTTCACATGTCTTTCTAAACCAATTTGTCGGCATCTATTACCAGGGTTTATGCCAGAAATGTTAAGTGACTACTGTATATAATAAACTTACTTACTAAACCTGCATTACATCAAATTATTATTAATATATAGCTACGTATTATTATATTCATAGGGAAGTGATAAACCCACTGGGGTTTCATGTTTCCTTCAAGAGGCAATACGTAGGAGGTACAGGTCCACAACCTTTTTGTACCACTGTATTTGTACCACTGTATATGTCATAGCTTTATATTACATGAAAAATTTGGATATTATGTGACATGGTACACAGACGACTCCTTCCCTCCCACCACAACCAACATATCTTACAGATGCATTCTGTAAACATCTAGTGCCTCATTGTCACACGCCATATTTATCGAGGCACAGGTCAATGAACTAAGTGACAAAAAATTATCAATTACTATAATTACATATAGTAGATGGTAAAATTTAAAAATTTTAAGTCAAGTGGAATTAACCCTTTCAGGGTCCATCCCGTAGATCTACGGCTTTACGTTCAGGGTTCAAACCGTAGATCTACGTCATGAGCTCAGCTCACTCTGATAAACTGTGAGTGGTACATTTGGGCCTAGATATGAGAGAATACATCTATGTGGTATGTGTGCACCACATAAAACAGATCCTGCAGCACACTGTGTATAATGAGAGAAAAAAACTGAAACCATGATTTTTCGATTAAAACAGCAACTTTGCAGTGTTTTTCGTATGTTTTTTATAGTTGTATTTACGATTTCCTGGTCTCATTTGATAGAATGGAAGACATATTACAGAAATAGAGATGATTTTGATTGGTTTTAGCACTGGAAATGGCTTGAAACTGAGCTCAAAGTAGCAGAAATGTTAAATTTTTGCCGACATTCAAGAGTAAACAAACGACCTCACACGTCTAATACACGCCAGCTGGTGGGTCTAATATGCATTCACAAATATGGTGATGATATTTATACAATTATTACAGTACTGCATAACAGTAAATCTTCTATTTTTTGGTGTGAATAAAAATTCATTATGTGAATAAAAAATCAAAATGGAATTTATTTGTAAAGTCTCAAAACGTAACTAATGAACAGAGGAAATGTTAGTTTAGTTCCAGGAATACCTACATTGTTTATTCTGGACCCTATTTTGAAATTGGAATATTTTGAACTTTGTGTTAAATTGGCCAAATTAACAATTTCCGATCACTTTAATTTGTAGTTGAAACAGTTGACATGGCGATTTCTTGTGGTCAATCGATAGAATAGAAGTAATACTAGTGAAATAGCTAAGAATTTGGTTGACTGGAATAATGTAATTGGCCTAAAATGGGAGTCAAAGTCGGCAAAATCGCCGATTCGTAAATATCGCTGACACATCAAAATTCGTGAGCATAATTTCGTAAATTTTCCATCAAATTTCGTACTTTTTGTTTTATTACCTTCACAAAAAGATTCTCTACCATTTCATAATAAAAAATAAAAAATTTTTTTTTGAAAATTCTTGGACACTGGGGCACCACTTCAGATTTGGGTCTTGGACCCTGAAGGGGTTAAGAACTAAATTGCAGATTCTTTTACCTTTACTCTAGTTCTTAGGTTGTGAGAATTTTCTGGCAAGAACACCATGTGGGTTCCTCTAGTTGTTGCCTGCCGGGTATCTTCCTGAGGTAAGTGCGAAGGCTCGTAGTAGCTCAGGCTAAGAGACCGAGAATCTTCTACACTGCTGCCGTAACTAGTTAACCCATTGGTATGGGATGACGGAGACATTTGTTGAGGCTGAGATTGTTGATGCTGTGACTGTTGATGTTGAGACTGTCCCTGAGAAGGTTGTTGCTGGTGTCTTGTGGGCAATGTAGCCAGTTCCAGCAAGTATGATGCATTCGAGTCTGATGGATACAAGTACTGAGAGGCTGGAGATGGTGTCCCATTTGTTTCAATCGTGGACAAGCCACTAGGAGATGGCGTAGGTGGGGGGCCATGAGAAGTGTAGGGAACAGCACCGATGCCCCGTCCAGTAATAATATTCGATGGGTGTTGGTTATATGCTATGGGAGCTGTAGGGATTGTCGTCGATGATGGCTCAAGGTGAGTGTCTAGAGGATCCATAAATTCCTCTTGAGGTTCACTCTTTAGGTTGGGTATATAAGATTCAACAGGGGAGGACTCGGATTTAATTTGTGGGAGGAACTGGTGATGAGCTTCATGTAGTGGATTGGGGTGAGACGTCTGTAGTGTGGACGGGGTAATATATGATGTAAAACTTCCTCCTACAGAATACCCTCCTTGAGACCTTCCAGGTGATACTTGAACCTGGGGATAAAAGAATATTCTTCAATCACTTTATAAAGTACAATATAGTACCAAAGGCGTGGAAAATAAATTCTCTTCAAAAAAAAAAAAAAAACTTAAAAGGAGGAATTAGAGGAGAGACACTTTTGGCAAAAAAACTTTTTTTACAAATATTAATACGCCACTTAATCTGACCTGACCCCAGCAGCCTGACCCTTCTCAGCTGGATCTGACCTGTCTCAGTGGCACTTGACCTGACCTGACATAACCTCACCCTCCCATATGCTTTATATACCATGTGTTTATGTATTCCATGTACATAATAAAGTCCCAGTGGGTGAATGTTACATTAATAAAAGTTTTCTTTACCATTATTTTCTGTCCCATAGCCATTTACAGGAATTATGGACTTTAAAAGTGTCTGGGAAGACATTTGTCACTATGCACCTAAAAACGTTAAAAAAACATATATGCAGCCCCACTTAGCAGCAAAATACAGTACTGGTATTGTACTCACAACAGATTAATAACACTGCACCTCCTTTACAAAAAAAAATGAAGAATTTTGACACTGTCATAGTATGCTACAGTCAGTAATACACCACAAGCCCCACAGAGGAGCCAGAGCACCAGCAAACAGGTGGCAACACATTACCAAACACTCTAGCCACCACTCTCCACCGTACCGTAGTTTATCTCTAATGGTGTTATTACGATTTTGTGATCAAAGTTCAACTGTATGATAAACTCAATTAAAAGTATATATCTACACAAGGAAGACTGATAGGGAAAATATTCTGCTACACATTATCTTTGATATACCTTTGACAAGTTTCAAGGGTCTCTCTATTGCCAGGTCACCATCTGGAGAAGACCCGGGCCGGAAGTACCGGTGAATCAACATGAATGAATGGGTCTCTCTACTCTCGGAGCCCGGCCATGGGCCAGGCTCATCTGGTGTTGGCCTGGTCAACCAGAGTGTCGCTGCTGGAGGCCTGCTGCCTCACATATCCATCACAGCTTGGTTGATCTGGCACTTAGTGAAGATCATACATACTCTTACCTGTTCATGTTGATAATAGTTCTGTGGCAGGTGGGAATGTTGAGTAGGCTGCGAAGGCTGGTGGGCACGCTGCTGCTGGTGGTGGTGGTGGTGATGGTGGTGGTGAACAGTGTGAGAGTGAAGGGTCTGGCTAGGGTTACCATGGTGATGATGCTGATGGTGATGTTGAGAGGTTAACAAGAGTGGTGTTGGTAAGGGATTCTGGTGACCTGGAAGCTCCTCAATACCAGCTCCCCGGTCTACTGGAGTTGTGATGTGCGTTGTGAAGCAAGACGAAGATGTGGTGGCAAAGGATGATGTGGTGGAGTAAGACGACGTGGTAAATGGAGACGTGGAGGTTGAGAGCCTTGCTGAAGAAGGGGTGGTGGTTGAGGAGGCATTGGTAAATGCATTGGACAAGGCTACAGAGAGTGCATCTTCATCCTCACCAACAAACTCCATCATCGCACTGACGCTAGCATCATTCTGTAGCATTGATGCCTCAACCATACTAAGGTCATCATTTCCCTAGTTGTGAAACAAGTAAGATTAGTCATCACAAGACTTTTCTATAAAATGTGTTAGAATGCTTGTAAATAGAAACCTATGTAACCCTGATATACAAAATACAGGCAGGCCCCATTCATACAACTCTAAGGTTTGCGGCCCCATATGATAAGCGAAAAATCACCAGCGAGTGGAAAAAAAAAAAGACTTGTTTTTCATTATTAAATGCATCTCAAATGCCTGTTAACTTGTTTACATTATCATATATTAAATGCTCAATACAGCTAGGCATAAAAACAGCTAAAAAAGTAAATACATACACAGCATTTACTATGCTTACCATAAAATATGGAGCTGGTTGCTCTTCCCGTACACAACTGCCATATGAAAACAGAGGTAACAGCGGAAAAGCAGTAAAAGGACCAGATATAACAAACAATGGCTTAACTGAAAGCCAATGAAAATGTGGAACACCGAAAAGAGGCGCTGTATATGCGGACCCACTTGTATACGTATATAAATCAGAGAGAGGCAACTCCTGTAGAAATTTTTGAAATACAAAATGTTGATATTCTACATCCATACATGCTTACATGTATCATGTAATTTCTAGTCTCAATGTAGCTATCAAGAAAAATTATCATGAAAAATAAATAAATGGGATGGTAGAGGAAAATTATTAAATGACCTAACATAGAAAACTTAACTGACTCACGAAATCATAATGACACGATTGCAAACAAACTATACCCCGGCCAGGATTGAACCCGCGGTCATTGAGACTCTATGACCACGGGTTCAATCCCGGCCGGGGTATGGGATAGAAAACTTAAATGTTGTTCCATCAAATCCTTTATTCTCTTCTCTGTTGCTACAGGTCATCATAACTGTGCCTAGTATTTACTTTATCTATGGGTAGAAACACAGATGATGATCAAACTAGATATAATGTGGTCAGCCTTAAGGTCACTTTCTTGAACACAATATCCTTAATAGTCCACTTACTGAGAAATATAGAGACAGACGGTACTGTATAGTAACCTATGTGATACGTTAAGGTACGTATTTTATTAATGAAAACATGACGCCAGATATATATACTGTATTAAGCAAATATTCTAAATTTGCTTCAACAAATTAAGATAACTGTAGATATAAAGCCATATGTACTCCTGTTAACTCTTTTGGGGCCTAAGCCTTTTGTGTATCCATATGCTTTTACACTACCATCCACAGGATGGACATGGGTGCACAATAAACTAGCCACTTCAACACCAAAATCTAAAAAACGTACCTTTTTCATTTCTTTTATCCACTATCAGTGGCCACCTATTTATCCTGCTGGAGTAATTTTTGACAGCATCAGTAATTCATAAACTATATTCTGATTTCAAATCAAAGTTGTACCCAATTTTACTATGAATATTTTAAACTGTAACAAATTCTTTGTCAAAAATGGTAGTTAGTTAAATACACATTAACTGGTTCTTAGTAAGTTCCTTTCGGCACAGGTACACATGAGTACAATTATCATACACAGTGTAAATCAAATAAGATAACCCCCCAAAAAAAGGTCAGACAAAGTGGCTTATTTCCACTGGGTTCCTTGTAATATCTCATCATTTAAACTTTAACAGAAGATAATACTCACGATAAGGCTAATGATCTGTGATTCCCCCTCCAGCACCCCCCCATCCGACAACGCCTCCATGGCCACACCTGCAAAATTTCTCCACATTAATGGCGGCTAAGATTACTGTATTTTCTTTTATAAGCACCAGCTGTCTCCTACCAAGGTTGGGTGACCCCTCCTCCAAAATCAAAGAGGAAACACATTAATCGTCATTCATTCAACAGCTGTCTTGCCAGATGCATGCCGACATGGTAGTTCTGATGGACCTCCGAACTGCAATATCCTCAGAACGTACACACTGTATTTCTCACTTCTGTACAATATAAATATGAATCACACAGCTTATGACTGAATAATGATGGGATACAGTAATTCTGTTTTCCAAATAAAACAAACTTTGCTTCTATCAAGTTTATTAGCTTTATTTGGAAAATAGAAATACTGTATCCCATCATAAGCCATTCATAAACTGTACAACTGTATAATATACAGTGTTCCATGACTCACGAAATCGTAATGACACGATTGCAAACAAACCATACCACGGGCGGGGATAGAACCCGCAACGGTCTGGAGTTTTGAGACTCTCTGATCGCGGGTTCTATCCCCGCCCGTGGTATGGTTTATACAGTGTTCCACTTTATTTCTATAAAGTGGAGTACAGTATTTTTATACAATTAGGGAGAGTGACATATATGAACTACAGAAATTCCCTTATTATACAAAGCATAAGATAGATTCCAAAGACAAAGAAATTTCAGAATCTTAGAAAATCAGAAGGCAGTTTAGATGCTATAAACTGAAAAATGATTATCATTCAGGGTAATGCTATACATTATGAAGACATTAATGAAAAACTGCATCTTGTATGGAAGCTGAAAAAATGCCAATTAACAATCTGCATTGTATGGACAGTTAACACAGTAAGTACATTTACTCAGGCACAGGTACAAGAGTACAATTCTCATACATAGTGTAAATTACCTAGAATAACCCCCAAAAAAAGTCAAAGTGACTTATTTTCATTGGAGTCGTTTCTTATTTCCACTGGGGTCCTTAATAATCAATGAAACAAATATCATATAATATCACTGGTCTGAAAGCTAAAATTGTTACAGTATTAAACAGTATGATTGTAAAATCATAGGAACCCCAATGACAGCAAAAATATAATGATTTTGTCTTGACTAATGAACATATTTATTCTTTAATAGCTTAAAATTGTGTCATTGTGACTGAGCACTAAACCCATAAGGGTCAGACAGCATGGGTCATATGCTGTATGACCCACTGAACCTGCAGTCTGGTTCAGTCCAAGGAGAAAGTAAGTCTAGTTCCTTGGATCAAAAATTTCTTACCAGCAGCAAGGCCTATTTGCAGGCCACATATATACTTTTTTAATAATGTTATATGAAAATGTATTTATGCCTATTTAAACTTGTGATATATAGATTTTCAAGATAATATGCCTGTAAAATATTTTTTTAGGCCTGAATGTAATTTTAATTATATTGATAGGGGAGCCTCCTTTAAGAGCCATTAAGTCCCAGGGGGAAGATAATCAAATTTGATCCAAGGAAGGGGAAAACAGCTGTAGTTCCTTGGATCAAGAGCCCTCCTCCCTGGATGCCTTAGACCTGCACAAAATCCTCTGCAGTGGAGTTTTTTTTTTTTTAATAATGAAGATTTCTTTATATATATAATTAGCAAAAAGTGAACATTATAATATATTGAAGATATACAATGGTAAATTTTTTTTAACCATATTATGTTCATGGGGGTGCGCTAAACCCGTCAGGGATTAACCATGGCCTATGGAAGGGAAAGAAAGACAGGTTTGATCCGAAGAATGGAAGTGTAGCTCTAATTCCTTGGATCATGAGCCCTTCACTCCTCTCGAAGGAAGGGCGTATACCAGAATTGTGAAAATTGCATAAGCCTAAGGCAGAGGTTGATGGCTCCTTACTTCAGTATTGTTAACACAGCTGTCACATAGGCCTAAGGCCATGACAGTGCAACACGGGCACAACAGCAGGTGTCTGATGGGCCTATGTTGATTGTTGCCAGGTGCAGGTGCCGCCCATAGGCCTACTCAGGTCAGCAGGAGCGCCATGATGGCTGCCACCACTCCCTGGTAGGCCTACCTTCCTTCACCGTCCAGTTGATGCTCCTAGGAGGCTAGGCCTACCTCCCAGGCCTACACCTGCTCCCTCACCACCTTTATAACACAGCCAAGAGGCCTACCACACTCACTCACACATATACACAGCACTGTTATCATGTAGGTCTAGCAGGCTGGTAAGCCTAACACACCAGCAATAATATAAGCCTAACGAGGCCAGAGGGTTGCAATAGGCATATATAAATTACTCCAACACTCACCTCCCTCCTTCAGATGTTAATGTAACTCCCTCGCGCAGATATTAACACCAAACTCCCTACATCACACATTAAAAATACAAAAAAGTATTGGTATAGACCCTGGCGCACTAAGCCTAACGATTTCGCCCACAATGCATTGCTCATTAGGCGCGAGTTTTGAATATTACCTGCATAATGGGCGGCCGCCCATTTTTGCGCCCACGTGGGCGTCCCTCACGCCCATGCCGCCCTGTTATGTGTTCCACTGCCTCGGTAGGTGTGTCTAGTTCAATATGTGTCTATTTTGGCAAATTCACAGGCACAATATATGCTATTTTCTTCGTCTGGTGCTGTAGGCCTACCCATTTCAAGGGAATTTTACACTGTATACCTATTTTTCTCTCATGATACTTACTATAAGGAAACTCACTATATTTTTATTAATCATAATGTGATAAAAATGGTAGTTAATAACCTGTACTTTTTTTATATTAGTAGATGCATTTCTGAAGTATGTAGGCCTATTGAGCTTCAAGCTTATTTTCTTCCTACACAGAGTAAGACATTTTATAAACACATGAAAACGCCCATTAATAATGCTTTTTCATATTTATGAGCGACTCACAGATAATTTATCTCTCTCTAAATAAATATAAACAAAAGAATTAGAAAAGAACCATCGTTCCCAGGAGGTGTTCAATGGACGGGGAGAAATTTCCCTGCCAGAGCCCAAAACTTCCCCGCCAAGACCTCGGGTGGCGGGGACGACCATCAATATGTATATTAAGTTTATTTAGGTACAGGTACACATGAATATAGGTACACATGAATATAGGTACACATGAATATATGTACACATGAATATAGGAACACATGAATATAGGTACACATGAATATATGTACACATGAATATAGTAACACATGAATATAGGTACACATGAATATATGTACACTATGTACATGAATATATGTACACATGAATATATGTACACATGAATATAGGTACACATGAATATATGTACACATGAATATAGGTACACATGAATATAGGTACACATGAATATATGTACACATGAATATAGGTACACATGAATATAGGAACACTGGAATATGTACATGGAAATATCGTAACGCCCCTGGCATATGTACCATGATCTTAGGTACACTGAATAATTACACTGATTAGCGTCACTGAAAACTACGTACAGAATAAGGTACACATGATACTAGGTAACATGATTATAGGTAACATGATCCAGGTACACATGAAATGCCATGGTGGTCTGATTGGTACACCTGAATTAATGTATGTCCATGAATAAGGTACATGAAACAGGTACTAATATCTACTAGTACACTATGTGTAATTTATCGGACCCTAAAACAGTGCAAGTGACTTATTCCATTGTTTTCTTGGATGTTTGGGTCGTCTGCTAATCTTTAAACTAGTACACTATTAGGATAGGTACACAATGAATACAATTAACATAGAAATTATAGGTACACCATAAAAAGGTACGACTGAATTCATGTGTCACCATTCTGAATCCAGGTACATAATTATATACATGGTTAACTATGTGTAAATTACCCATAGCGTAAAACCCAAAACAGGGCAAGTGACTTATTTCCATTGTAGTTCTTGGTCCTTGTTAATAATAATAAAACTAGTAAGCTTATTTAGGCACAGGTACAAATGAGTACAATTATCATAGTATAAATTACCTAGGATAACCCCCCAAAAAAGTCAGTGACTTTATTTCCATTGGGTGTCCTTATTTCCATTTTTTGTCCTTGTATTTCCATTGGTGTCCTTGTTTTCCATTGAGTTCTTTGTATTCCATTGGGTGTTCTGTTTTCCATTGAGTTCCTTTATATTCCATTGGTGTCTTGTATTTCCATGAGTGCCTTGTTATTTTCCATTGGTGTTCTTGTATTCCATTGGTGCCTTGTTATTTCCCATTGTTGTCCTTGTTATTTCCATGTTGTCCTTGTTATTTCATTGTGGTTCTGTATTTCCATTGTTCTTTTTATTTCCATTGAGTGTCTTTGTTATTTCCATTGATTCTTTCCATTGGGTGTTTTTGTTATTTCCATTGAATGTCTTATATTTCTATTGGGTCCTGTATTTCCATTGGGTTCTTGTTATTTCCATTGGGTGCCTTTTTATTTCAATTGAGTGTTCTTGTTATTTCCATTGATTGTCCTTGTTATTTCCATTGGGTGTTGTTATTTCCTTGGTTTTATTTCCATTGGTGTCCTTGTTATTTCCATTGAGTTTTCCCTTGTTGTTTCCATTGGGTTTTTCCTTGTTTGTTATTTCCATTGGGGGGGCCCCTTTTTTCCTTATTTCCATTGGGGAAACCCTTGTTGCTTCCATTGGGATCCTTGTTATTTCCATTGGGGTTCTTGATTGCCCTTCACTACTCAGAAAAGTTTCCTGTCACCACTCACGGCGGTCACTCATTACCACTCAGGAAGTTTCCCTGTCACCACTAGAGATGGTGTTCTCTCATTAAGAAACATTTGTATTTCTTAAACACTTATAGGTGTCAAAATTCATGGATTTTTGTTCGCATTCAGGAATATATTGACGCTGAGTGAAGCATAGGAAAGAATCCTACTGACAAGGCTTATAATTGATTAAATATTCGTCTGCTGGTGGTGCACAATGTCCCAGAGGTATTATATAACTTTTAAGGGCACAAGGACCCCCAGTGGAAATACAAGAACCCCCAGTGGAAATACAAGGGCCTCCAGTGGAAATATAAGGACCCCAGTGGAAATACAAGGACCAATGAAAATACAAGGACCTCCAATGGAAATACAAGGACCCCAATGGAAATACAAGGACCCCAATGGAAATACAAGGACCCCAATGGAAATAAAAGGGACCCTCAATGAAATACAAGGACCAATGGAAATAAAAAGGCCCTTAAGGGAAATACTAAGGATCCCAATGGAAATACAAGGACCTCAATGAAATAAAAGGGACCCCCAATGAAAATACAAGGACCCCAATGGAAATACAAGGATCCGAATGGAAATACAAGGACTCCCAGTGGAAATGCAAGGACCCCACATAAAAATCAGTCACTTTGTCTGACTTTTTGGATTATCCTGGGTAATTTACGCATGCTACTATGTGTAATAAATATACTTATGTCTACCTGTACTTGAATAAACTTAGACATTTCAGCTATATATGAGATGCCGTAGCCCTGCACATAAGGATCCCAATGGAAATAATCGCTTTGTCTGCCTTTTTTGGGTTATCCCAGGTAATTTACGCTATATATGATAATCGTACTTATATGTGCCTGTACCTAAATAAACTTACACATTTCATTCATGTTTAAGATGCCATAAGGTAACGTTGGAGACGGAGGGAGATTATTTTTCCCTGGTGGCGGGGAATGGCAGGGAAAGTTGTGGGGGCGGCAGGTGGCGGCGTGGCGCTGGTGTGAGAGAGTAAGTGGCGCCACCTGACACACTGGCGCCTCTCACACCCTCACTCTCACACCATGTCAGTTGTCTAGTGATCATTATAGGGTGAGGTTACGTCACCTCCCTTCTCCCTGACTGACTGGAAGCTCCGGCTCTCCCTAGTGTCTTAACCAGCTCTCACTTCCCACTCGGTTATTGATGCCGCCTTATAATATACAGAAGCGAGATTCAGTGAAGCTTCAGAACGTTACCGAAATGGAGGCGGAAGGTCTACGAAGTAATCTCTCCCACCAGGAGTTGATAACAGAGGTTGAAGTCAGAGTGCAAGTCAGGCCCATTGGTACTTCAGCAGTTCCTACTGGATGTTATAGTGTTACTAGAGTACAATGGGTCACCGTTGCTATACTGTGTTTCGTCAACCTCATCAACTATATGGACAGATTTACAATAGCAGGTCTGTATTTGATTCATTCGTCATGGTGAGTCTCTTGATCCGAGGAATTGTGGCTTTTTTGGTGATTTCTGCTTCTTTAGATCGACTGTTAGTCTCCAATTTCTTTGCATTCCATTCCCGAGAGAGCTGTGTGACCCCTACTGATTTAGAACTCCTCTGATTTTCATGTAACTTGGACAGATACGTAGATAAATATCTGCTACTATTGTTAACTCGCCCACTATTTGTAATTTACACACGAGTTATATATATATATATAATATATATATATATATATATAAATATATATATATATATATATATATATATATATATATATATATTATGAATAGATTAGCTCTATAGGCTTTTAGTGTTGCAGACAACAAGGCCTAGAGGCCTTTCTTATACACACACACTACACACACACACTACACACACACACACACACACACACACACACACACACACACCACACACAACCACACAACACACACACACACCACACACACACACACCCACACACCACACAACCACAACACACACAACCCCACACACACACACCCCACACACACACACCCCACAACACACCCCCACACACCCACACACACACACCACACACACACACAACCCCACACACAACACACACACACACACCCCACACACACACCCCACACACACACACACCCCACACACACACACACACCACACACCACACACCCCACACACAACCCACACACACACCCCACACACCACCCCACACACACACCCACACACACACACACACACACACAACACACACCCACCAACACACACACACCCACACACACACACACCCCACACACACCCCACACAACACACCCACCACACACACACCACCACACACACACACACAAACCCCCACCACACACCCACACACACACCACCCCCACACACACCCCACACACCCACACACACCCCACCACACACACACCACCACCACACACACACACACCCCCCACACACCACACACCCACACACACCCACACACACACACACCCACAACACACACACCCCACACACACAACACCCCCACAACACACACACCCCACACACCACACACACCCACACCCCACACACCACCACCCACACCACACACACCACCCACACACACACACACCACACACACACACACACCCACACACCACACACACCCACACACACCCACACACACACCACCACACACACACACCACACACCCACCACACACACCAAAACACACCCCCCACACACACCCACACACACACCCACACAACACACACCACACACACACACACACACACACACACACCCACACACACCACACACACACACCCAACACCCACACACCACACACCACACACACCACACACACACCCACACACACCCCACACACACCACACACACCCCACACACACCCACACACACACCCCACACACACCCCACACACACACACCCCACACACACCCACACACACACCCCACACACACACCCACACACCAACACCCACACACACACCCCACACACACCCCACACACACCCCACACACACCCCCACACACCACCCCACACAACACCCCCACACACACCCCACACACACCCCACACACACACCACCACACACAACCCCACACACACACCCACACACACACCCACACACACACACCCCCACACACACCCCACACACACACCCAACACACCCCACACACACACCCCACACACACCCCACACACACACCCACACACACCACACACACACCCCACACACACACACACCACACACACAAAACCACACACACCAACCACACCACACACACCACACACACACCCCCACACCCACACCACACACCACACACCCCCACACACCACACACCCCACACACACACCACCCCCCCACACCCCCCCCCCCACACACACACACCCCACACACACACCCCACCACACCACACCCCACACACACACACACCCCACACACACACCACACACCACCCACACACACACACCACACACCCACACCACACACACACACCCCACACACACACACACACCCCACACCACACACACACCCCCACACACACACACCCCACACACACACACAACCACACCCCACACACCCCACACACACCACACACCCCACACACAAAACACACCCCCACACACACACACACCCCCACACACCCCCCCCCCCCCCCCCCCCCCACACACCCCACACACACCCCCACACACACCCACACACACCCCACACACCCCACACACCACCCCACACACACCCCCCACACACCCCCCACACACACACCCCACACACACACACACACACCCCCACACCACACACACCACACCCCACACACACACACCACACACACCCACCCACCCCCCCCCCACCACACCCCACACACACCCCCACACACCCCACACACACCCCCCCCCACACACACACACCCTACACACCCTACACACACACACACACACACACCCTACACACACACACACCCTACACACGCACACACACACATACACAGGAGCTAAGACTCGACCCCTGCAACCACAAATAGGTGAGTACACACACACACACACACACACACACACACACACACACACACACACACACACACACACACACACACACCACACACACATACACACAGACACTGGGTGTTTGTGAATGTTGTATTACATTAGTGTGTGTTAGGTCTCAATGGTAATTTTCTTTTTTGAATTAATGTAACCTTTAACAACATTGGCATTTCACTCGAGAAGACTTGAATCCTTAAAAAAAAAAAAAAAACAGGAATTAAACTGTGATAAACGTGCGTACAAATGACTGCTTGGAGGTGAGTTTTCAAAGTGAGGTGCAGAATGGGGTTGCTTCCGGGCGTCGTAGTTACCCCAGGTAGCACTCAGGTGTGCTGTGGCCGCGCCCTTCCACTTTTTTATGATTTTTTTTGTAGGTTTTGCTTTGGTTGAGTAATGCTTTCAGACCGTGCACATCATTGTTACGTTAATTATTACAATTTCGTGTGTGTGCGCATTCCTTCGAGGGGATTTTTCTTGTGGTAAGATAAAGGCGGAGCGGGCAACTGTGTGCGCATCACACCACCAGCGTCAGGTTGTGTCGCGAGACTGTCATCAATAAAGTGACTGGAAATTCCTCTTGAATGGAACGCTATGGTCATGAAAAGTTAAGATTTGCAATATAGTATGAAACTGTTTAGTCCTGTAAATATTTTGTTTAATTTAACACCTGAAATGTACTGTTCCTTGGTGGACGGAAATGAACGTCGGGTTTTATCATATAAATTGGTCAGGGGAAAGTTTAGCCCAAGCAGTACATGCTTATTAGATGTAATATACATTGAGACCCCTCAGGAGTACCTTGATGCAGGTGAGGGGCTCTTGATCCAAGGAAATGTACCTGTTGTTTTTAAACTAGATTGCCTTCCATTGAGAGTTTAATCTCGATTTTAGTGAATAGTATCTTGGTTAGTGTACAGTGAATTGCAGCCTCATTGACCATCATGCAGTTGATAGGCTCTTCGCGAAATAGTCTGAGGAGGAACCTCAGCTCAGTGGTAAGTTAGGCTCTCGACCCGTAGCTCGGTTGGTAGCACACTCACCTCACACATTGAGGTCCGTTGTTCGATCCTCGGTACGGGTGGAAACATTGGGGGCGTTTCCTGGACACCTGCAGTCCCTGTTCACCTAGCAGTAAATAGGTACCTGGGTGTTAGGGTGTTAGCCGACTGGTGTGGGTCGCATCTTGGGGACAAAATTGAACCTAATTTGCCCGAAATGCTCTACATAACAAAGGAATTTGTATATAGTATGTAATTGAAGTCAGCTACGGCTGTACAAGCTGTATCATGTAATTGTAGAAAATACTACTACTACTACTACTATTATCGTCATCATCATCATATAGAGATAAGATTTCGTCCGGATTTTTAACCCCTGAGGGTTAGCCACCCAGGATAACCCAAGAAAGTCAGTACGTGTCGAGGACTGTCTAACTTATTTCCATTGGAGTCCTCAATCTTGTCCCCCAGGATGAGACCCACACCAGTCGACTAACTCCCAGGTACCTATTTGCTGCTAGGTGAACAGGCCAACAGGTATAAGGAAACGCGTCGAAATGTTTCCACCCGCCGGGAATCGAACCCGGGCCCTCCGTGTGTGAAGCGGGAGCCTTAGCCACCAGGCCACAGGGCCATGCCAGAGTGAGTGCATTACTACCCATGCCACGGGATACCCAATTTGTGAACGACTCCTGATGCAAAGAATTAGAGCTATTCTCCCCTTAGAATAAAGTGATTGTCTCCCATTGCTATGGCGTTGTATGATCCATACGGGTTTAACACTTCTCAAGAATATAATAATTACGCGTTGAAGAGACAAAAAAAAAAAAAACGTAATCTGTCGAAGTGGGGGAATCTTCAAACTTTTTTTTTTTTTCGCACAGTTGACTGAATGGTACTGATGTACCACCTTGATGATGGTTGGTGTTGTAGACACCACAACCTGACTAGCGAGCAATGTTGCCACAGTAATGCTGATCGTGTGAATAAAAGTTATAAACCACGCTTTTACTGGGACAATGTTTTTTGTGAAGCGTTACCAGGTCATGACTCGAAGCTTTACACTGCAAAACGTGGTCCCAGGAATAGTAAGTAAGTAAGTAAGTTAAGTTTATTCAGGTATACACAATACAGTTACATAGAATTATCATACATAGCAGCATATGTGTAGAGAACCTAGGATAACCCAAAAAAGTCAGTGACTTATTTCCAGTTAGTCATTTCTTCGCTGTTGTCTGCGGTGTATAGTTTTGATTGAGTGGTGAGCTGCTTTTGATTAACCACTCTAATATTAAATTTAACCTCAAATGTTTGACTCGAGTGGGGTGGCGTCCTCGACCGCTTGGCAATAGTTCATCAGATATCAATAGCTGCATTGGTGGCGCGCCGCACTGTACTGCATGTTATTGCTCATTGGTCAGCTTACTGCATGCT